CTCATACGCCGATTGCCAACGACTGACGCTTTCTGCAGGCGGGAAAAAATTCAGGGCTGTGCATGACTGTCCCCTCCACAACTCCACCGAAGGAGGCCTCTCTCGCATCATTGGTTTACGCGGAAAAAAATAAGGTCCGATACTTTTTGAACAGACCTTGTATGTTAAGAAAATTTATATGTAACAATAAATAAATTCTCAAATTAAGCCATTTCAAATCATAATACAGTAGTTATTTTGTTTACTGAAGAAAACTATAAAGTTTAAATTATTGTTGAATAAAATTAAATCAATACTTTATTTTTATGAGAATATTTGTAAAATTTTAAATTGTATTTTAGAAGCATTTAAGACATAACAAAGAGTAAAAAATATAATTTTAGTAAAATTATTTTAATTATTATTTATTTCAATAAAAAATAAAAGAAAAGAGTTAATGAATAAATAAAATAACTGTTTCTGTTAGAGCTAATTTCGATCTTTTATTTTTTGTTTATTTGAAAGACTTCTTGATTTTATCTTCATTATATGAATGAAGATAAAATCAAGAAGTCTATTATTATTGAATTAGCTAACAGTTTTTGAAATCAAAATATTTAATTTATAAGAAATAAAATATTACTTAATTTTATAAAATAAATATCTTTAAAGAGTATAATTTCAAAATAACTTTAACTTTGAAATAAAACAAAAAATATATGCAAATTTCAGTTTATAATTAGAATTTGTTTTGCTAAGTTATAAATTAAACAATAACGGAAAGAATTTTTACATAATAAAATTTACAAATTTTAAATAAATACGGAAAATGGAAATGCTCATCTAAAAACGGGAATCAAATTTCTCGGAGACAAAAATAATTCTTTTTATTCAAATGTTTATATTGTACATAGTCTCGGAATCGTTACTCTTCTAGATATTATTTTGTAAACTTTTTAAAGTATTCTTTTTCATTCACATATATCAATAGAAATAGATTGAATAATATAAAAGCTATAGCAGGTCTCAAAGCTAAAATATAAATATTTAGTATCATTTTCATAAGATTATTTTATGATTTGTACCAAAAAAACATATGAAATAATTATTGTATAATAATCAATTTTATTCCATCCAGATTTTTATTAACACTCCATAAAAGATATAATAATGAAACTTTTTTAAAGAGCAATTTCTCATTAATTCTAATAGTTTTCTAATGTTCAAGAATGAATTTCTCTGATGGAGGATATTCCAAAATAACTATTATTATATTATAATTTAATGCATGTTTATGGAATAAAACTATATATTTTATAAAAGAAATGTAGACTAAACAATGTGTTAAGTAATTTATGTAAAAAGTTTATATGAAACAAATATGATTATTTAATAAATAAAACAAATACAAACAATAAAAGTGAAATAACAAAATGAACTTAAACTATGAAAACAATTCACTTTCATTGTTTATCTTCCAGTAAAATATGTCAATTACATACACAAATTATGAAACACGTGCTTCGAGCATCGGTTAAATTAATTATTTTTAAAATGAATTTTTTTTTTAAGTTAAATAAAATCAAATTATCAGGAAATATAAATGAATTTTGGTTACAACACAGAATACATTTATCAATAATAAATTAATGTAAAAAATTTATTGAAGTAAAATTCACCTAGGATTAAAATCTTGAAATAAACTCTGCAGATTCATATTTTAATTTAACTACTTTTTATAATAACCACGTTCTTTGTAATAAATAAAATTCGTAAAATTTGTTCCAAACATTCATCTCCGACTTCCCTCTCGCTTCTATGAAATTTACGTAATCAGTAACAGATGGCGTAAATATCGCGTGCCATGCGTCATTATTGATAAAATATATACATATTTTTTGAATGTATTTATACGATCTTATCTTTATATCCTTTATTATTTAAATAATAATAATACAAATAAATAATATTCTATCACATGTTTGATATTATCATTAAGTAGTTAATGAAATTCGCAGAATGTTTTTTTTTTTTAACTCTTTCCGCCATGTGGGCACTAAGATGGCCTCTTTTTGCAAGTCCACTATGGGTTCGGCCAGGACCACAATGGGGCTGCCGGGTGGTGAGGGACGGGGCCCGACATATCTGAGCGGACCACCCCCCGAAAAATTCCTGGGGATTTTTTTCGACCCGTTCGGATTCGAATCAGGGTCACCTAGAGCGGTGGGCTGCCACCTTGTCTACTCGGCCATCCGGCCGCTCGCAGAATATTAATACATATCCTAATCGTAGTGTCTTAATTGAATTTTGGATTGATTAGAATATATTGAATTAAGAATTTACTAATTATTGATTAGAATCTGTATTAGTAATTTTTTAAATGGTAATTAGGCTATAGTCAATAAAGCTCACAGTGGGACGTTCGGGTGATAAGAGATCGAATCCGACGTATACGGACAGACCACCTATGAAAAATTTGTTAGATTCCTCAGTGGCGTACCGTGGGTGTCAGCCGCCCGGGACGGAGGAAAATTTCGGCCCCCCTTATTTAGGCATTTCAATTTAAAAGACCAAAATTCAGTTTTGTCACAGAACAAGCAATGAAAAATTCGGTGGTAGTGCAGCGACCTGTTTAAAATAGTTCTATTAAATATTAGTGGTGTATATGAACGCGAATGAATCGTACAAGAAAAAAAAAATGTCAACTGGTTTCGCAGGATTTCCTCGGATGAAAAAATTACTAGTTCACTCGGACGGCGAGCCGATTCCCGGACTGTCCGGACGATAGCACTATCGTAGGCGCGATACAAGTATAGATTAGGATATTTCAAATTTTTAAAAGATATTATTATTATTTATTGTGAAATTTTGCGGCCCTAAAAAGTGCCGCCCGGGGCGGGCCGCCCCTGCCGCCCCCACTACGATACGCCACTGAGATTCCTGAACCAGGGGTCAAATACGTATATTCAGTCCTGATTACCGAACAGGTTAAGGACCTTGCTGCCTCGACTATTGTTCTATTTTCACGTTTACAGCATCCATTTTGTTCAAGAGTAATATGGCATAGTCAATTGTTGTCTTATTTCATTTTTCTGTAGAATTTTTCTAACAATAGCATTATCAAATTCTCTGCCATTATCACTCAGAATTTCTTTGACTATATGTCCAGTAACTTTAAATGCAGCTATCTGTTTTAGCTTTTCAGACACTTCAGACTTTTTCTTAATAAAATAGATAAATCGAAATCTTGAAAAGTCATCTTTAAATAAAACAAAGTATCTAAAAACAGGCATAGATGGTTCAAATAGTCCACTTATATCCATATGTATCTGTTTACCCGGTTTTGTAGTACGTGGACGTGTTCCAAACTTTAATCTATGAGATTTTAAACACGTCTTTCACATATTTCACTATCCAAGTCAACTTTAACTCCAAGTTCTCGCTCTACAATTGTTTCACGTGTCTCTGGTATCTCGTGATAGATCTGTAATAAGTTTGACTTAGTAACTGCATTTACCTCATATGGCTTGCTACATGTTACACTTCTTAAATTAAGCTTTAAAAAATCTCCATATCGGCTACGTCTACCAGTTATTATTATGCGTCCATCAACTGTTTATTTATATTCTTCAGCCTTTGATATAAATAAGCTAGAGTGATGACAATCCAGAGAAGCTAACATTGAAAATAGATTTTCTTAAGATCCTGTACAAACCAAATACAGTAATACCTCGACTTACTCTACCCCGACTTACGCGAACTCAGAGTTACGCGATTTTCAAATCTCGTCGATTCGTCTTTTGTTTGAGCGCCACGCAACTCTCGATTACTCACTCCCCCCACACTATTGTTCAGCTTACATGTTCGGACGTGTCGCGCAGAATCGACACATAGCTACAATTTATTTTGTGTTATTTATTTCTGTGTTTGTTATATCTATGGAGACTTGAGAGACTCTATCTGTACACAGCTATCCATAGTGGCACTCAATTATTGGTATTCGCTACACTCAGGTTTTCTTTTAGACCCTTCGGAGGACTACGACCTTGCAGCCTAAAAACTACACGCCAACATCAAACATAGAGGGTACTATAGCCATACGTACGCTATTCAGAGAGATCCTACCATTCTCTACTGTCTATCTCCTCTCCCTCTTTCTTCCCCTCTTTTCCTTNTTTTCTTTTAGACCCTTCGGAGGACTACGACCTTGCAGCCTAAAAACTACACGCCAACATCAAACATAGAGGGTACTATAGCCATACGTACGCTATTCAGAGGGATCCTACCATTCTCTACTGTCTATCTCCTCTCCCTCTTTCTTCCCCTCTTTTCCTTACCCTCTTTTCTGCAAGCTAAACACCTCGTGTAAGGTCGATGTATGTATTAGTATATATATAATTAAGCTATATCTGTAAAAAGTCGCAAAGGTTTTTCCAATAAATGTCTTATAACTTAATACGAAATGATACAATGAACCCAACTTAGTATTGATTTTACAGTGGATTTTTGAAGTTTCTCTTAATACAATTAGTTTATTATTGATCTAAAAATAAATGCAAAAAATACTTCTGTTTTTTAAAATGAATATCATTTTGTATATTACGAGATATATGTATAGTTTCGATAAGTATAGAACGAAGTTATTGTACATTATTTTAGTGCTGAGTTTAAAATAGAAAAAACTTCATTAACTACAAATCATAATATCTATTGAAAAGCTGTACTTTCCACACGTAAAAAGCTGGGTTTTCCTTTCTCGAGTCGAAAAATAGAAAGTGTTGTAATTAGTCTTATTGTTATAAATATTTTGCAAGCTGTAGATGTGTTTTCCTTTTAAAAAAAAACGTAGATACAACATTCCCAAACATCAGTTAATCATTTTAAAATTACATTTTTGTCGTTAAATGTTATATTACTTTTAAACTTTAACAGTTTTGTATAAGAAAAATGTTCTAACTAAACTTAGTTTGTGATTCATACACATAAGTTCGCTTAATACATAAAACACTGGGCTATTCTGTATTAATAATATAATATAATATAATTTTGTAGATGATATATGAAAAGAATGGAGTAAACTTTGTGATTTATTTAGAATTTTTATATTTTGATACATAGAAAATAATAATAATACAATACTTCTTTTATATTATTGAATATTATTTTATTAACCTTACAGTTTTATTTAGACTTTGACACAGATCGCAAGTGAAGCAGCACTGTTCGGTTTGTAATTTAAAATAAACCATCGTGTGCCAATTTCTACATTCTTCCAACTGATGTCTTTTTAATATTTTCTTATTGGAATTAATACAGTATTTTCATTCTTTGGCATGGATCGGCCAACGTGCTTCCATTGTTTTGAATGCTACTTACTAATGATTTTCTTTCTTTGTTCTTTTATTTTTCTCCTTTTTTTCTAACTTCAAAAACATCATTTTGGAGTAATTCGAGATAGAAAATTAACATCAAAAAAGATTTTTTTAATCGCGATTAATGATAACAGTATCATTGACTTAATCGTTTTATATAAGAGAAATAAGATACATCAAGATATAGGCTAAACTTAATTAGCTACCATAAGATTGATTGTTGCATTTATCAAGATTTAGCTACGTTTGATCTCAAACACAAACACGAGTGATAATATAGTATATTCAGTCTGGTAGTCAGGAATAAATCATTTGGACTATAGGGGAAAACTGAAAAAAAAATGTTACTAGTGTTTTTTTTTCTTTTCCAGCTAATACTAAGACTATTAGCAACAGCACTAGCGTAAAAAACCCACATAACAGTAGCCTAAGTTTACATAATGAAAGCATATACTGTATATATAAATGAGGATGTTTGTTTGTTTGTTCGCTATAACTCCTAGGCTGTTTGACCAGTTGCTACGAAACTCGGGGTACGTTCGTAAAGTCGAACGAGTTAAACGAGAATGACGTCATCGTTATTCATATTTCGTTAGACTTTTCGAACGATTCGTTTAGAACTAAATGGCTGTTTCTAAAATCGAAGATACAAATGTTGCTAATACAGCCTTATCCGAAATATTTTTCTTAGATTGCTTCGGGTGGACAGTTACTCCAATCATTTCATCTTTTNTACTTCTTTTATATTATTGAATATTATTTTATTAACCTTACAGTTTTATTTAGACTTTGACACAGATCGCAAGTGAAGCAGCACTGTTCGGTTTGTAATTTAAAATAAACCATCGTGTGCCAATTTCTACATTCTTCCAACTGATGTCTTTTTAATATTTTCTTATTGGAATTAATACAGTATTTTCATTCTTTGGCATGGATCGGCCAACGTGCTTCCATTGTTTTGAATGCTACTTACTAATGATTTTCTTTCTTTGTTCTTTTATTTTTCTCTTTTTTTTTCTAACTTCAAAAAGATCATTTTGGAGTAATTCGAGATAGAAAATTAACATCAAAAAAGATTTTTTTTAATCGCGATTAATGGTTACAGTATCATTGACTTAAGAGAAATATATAAGAGAATATAAGAGAAATAAGATACATCAAGATATAGGCTAAACTTAATTAGCTACCATAAGATTGATTGTTGCATTTATCAAGATTTAGTTACGTTTGATCTCAAACACAAACACGAGTGATAATATAGTATACTCAGTCTGGTAGCCAGGAATAAATCATTTGGGCTATAGGGGAAAACTGAAAAAAAAATGTNTGGAATAATAAAATTTACAAATTTTAAATAAATACGGAAAATGGAAATGCTCATCTAAAAACGGGAATCAAATTTCTCGGAGACAAAAATAATTCTTTTTATTCAAATGTTTATATTGTACATA